TTTGTTAGAATATACTTATATACATACAAATATTTTATTATCGTTGTCCAATCTTCTGGAAGAATGAGCAAATATGATGTGAGAGACAAAAAATAGAGAAAACGGTACATAACTGAAAGAAACCTCACTGAAGACTAAACGAAAATAGTGCTACAGAGTTTGAGACGCGAAAAATATATCTAGGTATAAAATTTTTTAAATAAAATTTTAACATTGATTTTCTATTAAATGTTTATTTATAGGAGTATATTTATGTATATATTATACATATAATAAGTATATATCTCTGCCTGAAAACTTCATGTTGTTAAACTTATACTTGACTGGAAATGTAAAAAATATAAACTATATTATTAAAACCTTTTTGATCTTCAGTGCATAATTTTATAGACTTGACTATAGACTAGACTATAGACTAGACTATAGACTAGACTATAGACTAGACTATAGACTAGACTATAGACTAGACTATAGACTAGACTATAGACTAGACTATAGACTAGACTATAGACTAGACTATAGACTAGACTATAGACTAGACTATAGACTAGACTATATACTAGACTATAGACTAGACTATAGACTAGACTATAGACTAGACTATAGACTAGACTACAGACTAGACCTATAGACTAGACTATAGACTAGACTATAGACTAGACTATAGACTAGACTATAAACTAGACTATAGACTAGACTATAGACTAGACTATAGACTAGACTATAGACTAGACTATAGACTAGACTATAGACTAGACTATAGACTAGACTATAGACTAGACTATAGACTAGACTATAGACTAGACTATAGACTAGACTATAGACTATACCTATAGACTAGACTATAGACTAGACTATAGACTAGACTATAGACTAGACTATAGACTAGACTATAGACTAGACTATAGACTAGACTATAGACTAGACTATAGACTAGACTATAGACTAGACTAATAGACTAGACTATAGACTAGACTATGACTAGACTATAGACTAGACTATAGACTAGAATATAGACTAGACTATAGACTAGACTATAGACTAGACTATAGACTAGACTATAGACTAGAACTATAGACTAGACTATAGACTAGACTATAGACTAGACCTATAGACTAGACTATAGACTAGACTATAGACTAGACTATAGACTAGACTATAGACTAGACTATAGACTAGACTATAGACTAGACTCATAGACTAGACTATAGACTATACTATAGACTAGACTATAGACTAGACTATAGACTAGACTATAGACTAGACTATAGACTAGACTATAGACTAGACTATAGACTAGTACTATAGACTAGACTATAGACTAGACTATAGACTAGACTATAGACTAGACTATAGACTAGACTATAGACTAGACCTATAAGACTAGACTAGACTATAGACTAGACTATAGACTAGACTATAGACTAGACTATAGACTAGACTATAGACTAGACTATAGACTAGACTATAGACTAGACTATAGACTAGACTATAGACTAGACTAGACTATAGACTAGACTATAGACTAGACTATAGACTAGACTATAGACTAGACTATAGACTAGACTATAGACTAGACTATAGACTAGACTATAGACTAGACTATAGACTAGACTATAGACTAGACTATAGACTAGACTATAGACTAGACTATAGACTAGACTATAGACTAGACTATAGACTAGACTATAGACTAGACTATAGACTAGACTATAGACTAGACTATAGACTAGACTAGACTAGACTATAGACTAGACTATAGACTAGACTATAGACTAGACTATAGACTAGACTAGACTAGACTAGACTATAGACTAGACTATAGACTAGACTATAGACTAGACTATAGACTAGACTATAGACTAGACTATAGACTAGACTATAGACTAGACTAGACTAGACTATAGACTAGACTAGACTAGACTAGACTATAGACTAGACTATAGACTAGACTATAGACTAGACTATAGACTAGACTAGACTATAGACTAGACTAGACTAGACTATAGACTAGACTAGACTAGACTATAGACTAGACTATAGACTAGACTATAGACTAGACTATAGACTAGACTATAGACTAGACTATAGACTAGACTATAGACTAGACTATAGACTAGACTATATACTAGACTATAGACTAGACTATAGACTAGACTATAGACTAGACTATAGACTAGACTATAGACTTGACTATAGACTAGACTAGACTATAGACTAGACTATAGACTAGACTATAGACTAGACTATAGACTAGACTATAGACTAGACTATAGACTAGACTATAGACTAGGACTATAGACCTAGTCTATAGACTAGACTATAGACTAGACTATAGACTAGACTATAGACTAGACCTATAGACTAGACTATAGAACTAGACTATAGACTAGACTATAGACTAGACTATAGACTAGACTATAGACTAGACTATACTAGACTATAGACTAGACTATAGACTAGACTATAGACTAGACTATAGACTAGACTATAGACTAGACTATAGACTAGAGACTATAGACTAGACTATAGACTAGACTATAGACTAGACTATAGACTAGACTATAGACTAGACTATAGACTAGACTAGAACTAGACTATAGACTAGACTATAGACTAGACTATAGACTAGACTATAGACTAGACTATAGACTAGACTATAGACTAGACTATAGACTAGACTATAGACTAGACTATAGACTAGACTATAGACTAGACTACAGACTAGACTATAGACTAGACTATAGACTAGACTATAGACTAGACTATAGACTAGACTATAGACTAGACTATAGACTAGACTATAGACTAGACTATAGACTAGACTATAGATTAGACTAGACTATAGACTAGACTATAGCCTTGACTATAGATTAGACTAGACTATAGACTAGACTATAGACTAGACTATAGACTAGACTATAGACTAGACTATAGACTAGACTATAGACTAGACTATAGACTAGACTATAGACTAGACTATAGACTAGACTATAGACTAGACTATAGACTAGACTATAGACTAGACTATAGACTAGACTATAGACTAGACTATAGACTAGACTATAGACTAGACTATAGACTAGACTATAGACTATACTATAGACTAGACTATAGACTAGACTATAGACTAGACTATAGACTAGACTATAGACTAGACTATAGACTAGACTATAGACTAGACTATAGACTAGACTATAGACTAGACTATAGACTAGACTATAGACTAGACTATAGACTAGACTTTAGACTAGACTATAGACTAGACTATAGACTAGACTATAGACTAGACTATAGACTAGACTATAGACTAGACTATAGACTAGACTATAGACTAGACTATAGACTAGACTATAGACTAGACTATAGACTAGACTATAGACTAGACTATAGACTAGACTATAGACTAGACTATAGACTGGACTATAGACTAGACTATAGACTAGACTATAGACTAGACTATAGACTAGACTATAGACTAGACTATAGACTAGACTATAGACTAGACTATAGACTAGACTATAGACTAGACTATAGACTAGACTATAGACTAGACTATAGACTAGACTATAGACTAGACTATAGACTAGACTATAGACTAGACTATAGACTAGACTATAGACTAGACTATAGACTAGACTATAGACTAGACTATAGACTAGACTATAGACTAGACTATAGACTAGACTATAGACTAGACTATAGACTAGACTATAGACTAGACTATAGACTAGACTATAGACTAGACTATAGACTAGACTATAGACTAGACTATAGACTAGACTATAGACTAGACTATAGACTAGACTATAGACTAGACTATAGACTAGACTATAGGACTAGACTATAGACTAGACTATAGACTAGACTATAGACTAGACTATAGACTAGATATAGACAGATCTGTAGACTCTTGTCTATAGACTATAGTCTAGTTGGGGAGGGCATTATGCGTATGTGTATATACCAACTAAAGGTATACCAATCGCTTTCTGAGTCGATTTAGCTATATCTGGTCATCTGTCCGTCAGTCAGTCAGTGTGTGAGTCTGTCTTGTCTGTCTGCACGTTTGTGCGTCCATGAAAACCTTGTGCACACGCTAAAGTTCGCAATTTTTAAGATACTTTGATGAACACATGCTCTAGATTTTACCTAAGAACGAAGCCTATGATAGTGGTTTAAAATCGATACTTTATTTCCTTATAGGGCCCTTATTTGACCCTATCCCCCATATAAATTCCCCTTCAGAAATTTTTCAACTTGGCCTATATAACCCATATACTGTCACAACACTGATACAAGATTATTTAACAGAAAAATTTACTAAAAAGTGTTGTTTGTTCTTAAGTATTTATTATTTGTAATAAAATGAAAACGTTTTGTATTTGTTATTTATATTATCTGCATATACATACCTATATATAAATACATATTTAAGAGTTCATAAATATCTAGTACTTTAATAATTAGTAAAAGTAGTCCTGCAAAGACTGCGCTTATTATTTAAAATAATTCAATAATAAGTACATATTATAAGATGTGATTTATTATTAAACGATTTACTAACATACATATATTTGCTAAGAAGATTTAATTACTTCCAGGTCACTGGATCTTTTATTTTTTATTTAACTTGAGTATTAAATATGATATTCATATTTTTTTGCAATTCTTAGCTTAATTTTATTATTTATTTCGGATCTAGGATAATAAGTCACGTATTATATTTTGTTCAAAAATAAAAAAAGTATACAGAAAGAAAGCGTTAATTTTAAATTGTTTAATGTAGAACATCACATAATTCAGATAACAGTTTTAAAATCTTAGAGTAATGACCGTAGATTTGGTGACAATCTCAATAATATTTTTTTCAAGTGTTTTTCCTCAAAGATTTTTTATTTTGTTTGTACAAAATCATATACATACTTACAACTGTAATTGATAATTAAGAAATAACTAATAAAGCTGTATACATATACTTTTCCTCTGTATCTTTCTAGGAAAAATTAATAATAAATAATAAGACGGAGCAACTATATGAAAACAACACGTGTAAGTACCCTTACATTTATCTATGTACGTATTTGTTTTGTCTTATATTAGAATTCTGATTTTGTGCTATTAATGATAAGAAGTGTAAGTTCAACAATATGAAGACCACAATAATAATAATGAAATAAAATAAAAATATAACAAATCAAAGAAATGAAAACATACTTCTCTATACGACAAAATAAACTAAAAGAAATAGTAAAAAATTACCACGATAGACAGTTTGTTTACTGCCACTTAAGTTAAGATTTATAAAAGAAGCCTTTATAAACTAAACAAAATGATGAAACGAATGAATGATTGAGTGAATAAATGAAGGTCTATGAAGTAAATGGACTAAAAAGACTCTTCTAGTGAATTTATACAAATGTATAGAAAAGTATCTATTTACAATATTAACACGAATACAGTTCTTCTTGTTTATTCTATTTGTTATACGTGCGTCACATATAATTCATTACTTATGTATTCTCGAAATCGATTTATTGATGAATTTCATGGTTAAACAACCATCAATGTATTTAATTTACAGACAGACACAATCGTAGGCTGTACAAGACAATACTCATTCAAACAATAAAAAAATATATATTTTATAAATGCTAAAGCATGCAACGTTATTTACTTTATTTAAGTAAAATCGAAGTTTGAGAAACAACTAGAAACATATGTATGTATGTACATATACATATGTATATTAATTTATATTTAAAAATTCCATTTGTTCTTGTTTTTTGAAATTAATGACGGCTTTTATGGAATATATGTATACGAAAAATAAATTACCAATTATTACAACAAATTTTGATAGGCAGCGTTCAAATGTCAGTAATAGTTAGTTTTTATAACAATACTTATTTATTAAATTTAAGCCCCCCTTAAGACCTCCGTTTAACTGATAGATATTCTGCCGTGAAAATTTAAAGAAAAATTGTACAATAAAATTAAAGATGGTTCTATAAGCAGTGGTCAAAAATACCATTTAATCCGCTGTTGGAATCAGTCAAAATTGGTAATTTAAATGATTAAGATTTAATTCTTGTGTTATTAAATTATGTTGTAAAATTGCATACTCAGTTTTTCATTTTGTGATCGTTTGGCCTTTTTAAAGGACTTTAAAATTTGAAATATATAAAATAAAAATTAAAAAAAAAACAAAAATTATAAAAACAACTTAATTACATTTTTAGAATTTTAGGTTAATTATAATAAAGATATTGTGATTAATATTCTTGCCTAAATTAGCAGAAAATACGTATTTAATTCTTTTTAAATAATTTATCTTAGAATTGCGTGTTATTATATCAGCATCTGTTTATGCAAAATTTCAGATAGGTTTACAAGTTGCAATTATCACAAGGAAAACTTACATTGAAAATTAATGTTAATAAAGCTAATAAAACCTCTTTCTACTACTTCTTCATTAGCATTTTAACTCATTACTTTAATACGACATTGAAGGCAAGTACTTCCACGCTCGCTTACAAATAGGGAGTTCAAGAAGTACTTGCAAGTTCGTTTACGATGAAGTTGTTGAGTATGTTATTTTATTTTAATTAATAAAAGGAGTCTGCGAGATTACGAACAAGGGATTTCGGTTTATTAGTCAAACGTTCTAATTACTGCACCACTACTTAGCTATTTTATTTATTTTGTTTTCTTTTCTGTAAAACTCTCAACTCACAATGTACAAACAAAATGACAAAGCCGAAAATAAAGTGCTTTTATATCATATTGAAAGAAAGTCATTACTATAGTACTTCTAAGTAATGCAGATAGTGAGTAGTTGTCATTAAAAAGTATGTTGTTTAGTAAGTAAAAACATTACCAGATACTTTTAATTTGAAATTTAATTTGGTGAACTTAATCTACTGAGTACGTAGACTACTCCAAACAAATTTCATAAAAATCGGAATGCGAATTACATCCTACGAACTAAAAAGTGAGAACGGACCGATTATTTAAGATGTTATATTAACTAGTGTAAATAAAATAATATAAGTTATGGTGGTCCTATGTATTAAATAAATATAATTTCCATATATTCTATATATTATCAAAATAATATATGGAAATCACTTACATAGGTACATTGGCTAAATACTAAATCAATTAAGATATCGTTAAATACATTTGTGCACATAAGTATCGTCAGCAGAGGTATGTAGAAATTGCAACCAAAAAAATAAAAAAATCCACTTAATACTAATATTCAAAACAGATTTGTAGTTACCCTACTATTTCAACATAAGTATCAAATATAAGGAAACAATCCTAAGCGATTTGTTGTTCTATTTTTAAGGATCAAAGACAAAAAGTATTCTTTGAATTCTTATTATCCTTGAAATTATACTAAATTTTGTTCATAAAAAATAAAATAATTATAACAAACAACTCAGTATGGAGGACTTCATTCTCTGATTTGAATGTTCTACATATTTAAATGTATGTATATTTTATAGTCTTAAAGAAACTAATATCAAAAATTTTGAAGGATTCAATTTATCTAATTTTCAAGTGCGTTTTTGTTCTGTCATGTTAAAGTTAATTTCATTCATTGTTATCAGGATATCATAAATAAATAAAAAAATCATCGATTTTTCAATTTGAAAATTCAACATTTTTTACTTAGAGTAGAATTCACACAAATTTGCTCGTTTAGAAATTTAAGTTTTAAGGCCTTATTTATAAACAACATTTTCTTTTATATAAGGGTTATAAAACAAAATTTTCATAGAAAATCTGATTTATAATCCGTTAGGTTATGCTTAGGTTAGGTTGATAGGAGGGTGTATACTACATAAAATCTGAAGAAACACACTTATACCACTATTGTGCGCTGGTTTTAAATAAAAAACAAGTAAGAAGTATTTATTCGCCCTTGCTGAATCTTATATACCCTTCACCATAGTGTATTTAAAAAATATTAAGTTTATAAAATTTCAATTTATTTCATTTTCCCGACTCTATCATTACTTTAGCAATAGCAAATCAAAAGGAACAACAGCAACGCTAAACGAAAACACACAAAAAACAAAATACACAACGCAATGAAACCAACAGCATCCAACCATACCAAACAAAATACACAACGCAATGAAACTTTGTTTCCTGAACGTAATTCCTACGAATGCCTGACAGTGGCCCTTTCGTTTCCGACTACTCCTGAGTGGCTTGGTACCCATATTCAGTTAAAGTTTTCTTACAAACCAATACTATCTTAGATTTAATTCTATCACATGATATCGCCCTAATTGCCTTCTGGCTGTCGGTAAACATATTAAGGGCTGTGAGCGCAATATTTATTCTAATCCAATTTATCCATTCCGTTATTGCCTCGACTACTACCTGGAAGCTTATGTTATGATTAGGTAAATGGTGGTATATTTCTCTTTCCGGTTCTTCAATATAGAACCTAGGCCCACTTTGTCTCCCAATTTAGAGCCATCCGTGTAGCAACGGATTCCTACTGGTATTTGCTCTAATGTTCCGCTTGAATAAGACTTTCTGTCTGGGATCAGTGTGCCAAAGTTTCCGACATATTCTGTGTCTGGTTTTGCGATTAGGTACGTCCGATGATTGTGTATAACCTTCCAATGATGACGTGTCCTATAACCGCTTTTGGCCAGTTCGCCTAAAGTAAAGAGCGGTTCGGCTGTAAGCGTCGCCTCATATCTTAAATATGTTTCAATGGGTGGCATATCTAGCAACATTCCCAGAGCCTTGGTTGAAGTAGTATACATGCCACCCTATGGTATACCACGAAATACCTTTTTCCTGATAGTTATATCGTACATCTCGCAGCGTATTCGGAGAAGCGCTCGTTAGGAAAAACGGGAAAACTCCCCCGAGCTATAATCCGTTAATAAAATAAAAATTTTGTTATGAATAAGGCCTTTTAAACTTATTATTATGTTATAAATAAATTATTATTATGTATTAAATAATTTGAATCTTTTAAAAATATTTCTAATTTTACAAAGCTATATTTTGTCAAACTTGATTTTAATTAAATTGTAATTTTAATTCAACTTTAAATTCAAATTATCATTAGATAAATATGATTTAAGAAACATAGTTATTTTTTAATTAAAATTTTGTTAATGCATATTAAAAAATGTATAGTTATCATTGCTCAAACAATATATATATTTGTATTTACTTTTTATTATTTATTCAATTGTTTTTAGATTTTAGTACAACAAAAAAAAATCATATCACTTTCGAAAATATTCAAGCACTCTTATAAATACGTCATGATGAAGTCTTCCAAAGTGTTTTAATATAATAAAAACGAACAAAAAATTAAACATTAAAAAATCCTTCATTTTCCTACATGAGCCACCTAGACGTATGAATATTAAAGAGTAATCAATAATTAATGTTAATAATACGTTACATGTTTAAAACATATTCACAGAGTAGTGTCTGCATTCACATACATACATACTTAAATTTGTAGTCATATAAATAATGTATGAGTAATAGAGTGAGATTGAGAGAGAAAGACGATATGTGTAGTATATAAAAAAAGTGTTGATTCATTTACTTTTATATACATATGTATATGTTCATATACATATACATATGTGGAATGTATAGTGAAGGAAACGACTTTTGTATGTATGTATGTATGTATGTATGTATGTATGTATGTATGTATGTATGTATGTATGTATGTATGTATGTATGTATGTATGTATGTATGTATGTATGTATGTATGTATGTATGTTGTATGTATGTATGTATGTATGTAGTATGTATGTATGTATGTATGTCTGTATGTATGTATGTCTGTATGTATGTATGTATGTATGTATGTATGTTTATGTCTGTATGTATGTATGTATGTATGTTATGTATGTATGTTATGTATGTATGTATGTATGTATGTATGTAGTATGTATGTATGTATGTATGTATGTATGTATGTATGTATGTATATGTATGTATGTATGTAGGATGTATGTATGTATGTATGTATGTATGTATGTATGTATGTA